GACAGTGGTCATTTTGAAGCATAAGTCAGATCATTTCCCTTTTCTGCTCAAAACCCTGAAGTGGTTCACATTTTTTTGCTCAAATAGCGACCAAAGTGCTTACTTTGGCATATAAAAGTCCTCGAAGGTAGGATTTCCCATTACTGCTCTGAACACATCTACCATTCTCTTAATTGCCTACTCCACTCTAAACTTACTGCTTCCTTGCTCTTATTAGGACAGGATGGGCATGCTATTTATTTGGGCCTTTGCGCCAATTGTTCCCTTTGAAACACTTCTCCTCATATATCCGTTTAGCTAACCCTGTCACTCTTTTTTATTTTATTTATTTATTTTTTTTGAGATGGAGTCTTGCTCTGTTGCCCAGACTGGAGTGCAGTGGTGCAGTCTTGGCTCACTGCAAGCTCTGCCTCCCAGGTTCACGCCATTCTCCTGCCTCAGCCTCCTGAGTAGCTGGAACTACAGACACCCACCACCACACCTGGCTAATTTTTTGTGTTTTTAGTAGAGACGGGGTTTCACCACGTTAGCCAGGATGGTCTCGATCTCCTGACCTGGTGAACCGCCCGTCTCAGCTTCCCAAAGTGCTGGGATTACAAGCATGAGCCACCGTGCCTGGCCAGAACCCCGTCACTCTTTACTCACATGTCACATCAATGAAGACTACTCTGACGACCCTATTTTTGGTTTATTTTTTTGTTTTTGAGACACTGTCTTACTCTGTCACCCTGGTTGGAGTGCAGTGGCGCTGTCATAGCTCACTGCACCCTTGAATTCCTGGGCTCAAGGAATTCTTCTGACTTGGCCTCCTGAGTAGCTGGGACTACAGGTGCGTGCCACCACACCTGGCTAATTTTTGTTATTTTGTAGAGACAGGGTCTTGCTGTGTTGCCCAGGCTGGTCTCCTAGCTTCAAGTGAACTCCTAGCTTCAAGTGATCCTCCCACCTCAGTTTCCTGAGTAGCTGGGACTGTAAGTGCATGCTATTGTCCCTGGCTGATTTTTAAAAAATTTTTTTGTAGAGTAATGTTCCTACTTTTTAGTAGAGATGGTGTTTCACTATGTTACCCAGGCTTGTCTTGAACTCCTGGGCTCACACAATCCTCCCACCTCGGCCTCCTGAAATGCTGAAATTACAGCGCAATCCACCATGCTACCTTTATTTGAAATGTTTATTTACTCTCTCTTCCTACCCCCAACCCCAGTTGCTATGTTTCAGTGCATTGCAGTTACTGTTTTCTGTGATGTTCAAATTGTCTCATATTTGGCCATTAAGGAGCCCTTTCAGATTGGCTCCTAAGTCCTTTCCACATGCCTCAGTAGTGTTTGGCAACTTTCTTGCTTGTAGGATTAACTTTGTAAAATTTTGTTCAAGAGTTTTGCCCTCTGTGTTCATTAAATTCCACATACTGCCCCCTCCCCCCCCCCGCCACTGGGGCTTTTTTTTTTGAGATGATGTCTTCCTGTGTTGGTATAAAGATTATGCTGACCTCATGAACAAACTGGAGAGTATTTCCTCTTTCTATTTTCTAGAGATGTTTGTATAAGGTAATAATTTCTAGCTGGGTACAATGGCTCACATCTGTAATCTCAGCACTTTGAGAGACCAAAGCAGGAGGATCACTAGAGGCCAGTGAGACCAACCTTGGCAACAAAATGAGACCCTGTCTCTGAAAACAAATTTTTTTAAAAATTAGCCAGACATGATGGCACACGCCGATAGTCCCAGCTATTTGGGAGGCTGAGGTGGGAGCATTACAGGAGCCCAGAAGTTCAAGGTTGCGGTGAGCTATGATACCATCACTGCACTCCAGCCTGTCTCAAAAAGAAAAGTTGGTAATAAAATCTGATGGTAACATCAGATGTTTGGTACCGGCAATGATACATGGGTCTGAAGTAGTATTTATAAGACTATTTGGGAAAAAAGTATTTAAGAGTTAGAGTAGTAGTCAGCTTTTTCTTTTATATTTTGAGTCACTTTTGATAAGTTATAGTTTTATAATATATATTCATTTCAATAACTAAAATTTCAAATTTATTGGCATAAAGTTGTTTAAAGATACCCTTGTCTTTTTTTTTTTTTTAATCTCAGTGGCATCTATAGGGACACTCACTTTTTCTTTCCTAACATTGATTTTTATTGCTTTTTCTGTTTGACCAGGGATCTCCCAATGTTACTGGTAATTTCAAATAACTAACTTGTGACGTTACTGATGTTCTCGCACCTGTGATTGTTTCCTGTTTCATCAGTTTTTAATTTATTATATTTTATTAATATTTAATCTTTATCTTGTTCCTTTCTCCTTTCCGCTTTGATTTTCAGCTTTCCTTCTTTCAAATATATGCATTTAAATATGTAAATTTTCCTTTTAGTTCAACTCTGGTTTTTTATGTTTTTGTTATTAATTTCTAGATGAAAAGTAAAAAAGGATGATAGCAATAGCAATTCTTAGAAATTTGAGAGTTCCTTTAATGGCCCAGTATATTGTTAGTTTGTAAATGTTCCATGTGTACTTGAAAAGAGTGTGTACTCTGTAGTGAACGAATACAGTGCTCTTACATTAGGCTAAGTTAGACCAGCCTGGGCAACCTGGTGAAACCTTGTTTCAACAAAATATTGGCCAGGCATGGTGGTGGGCGCCTATAGTCACCAGCTACTCTGGAAGTTGAGGTGGGAGAATCACCTGAGTCTGGGAAATAAGTCAAGGCTGTAGTGAGCCATAATCAGTGATTGTACCACTACACACCAGCCTGGGTGACATAGCAAGACTCTGTCTAAAAGAAAAAAGAAAGAAACCTGAACTTTTTAGGTGTTTGTGATCGATCATTTACATCATTTGATATCCAGGATTTTTTTGCATCAGTACTTTCTTGTCATGTTTTTAAAAAATCTCTCTTTGGGCAAACTGAGGAAAGTAAAAAAAAAACTTTTTAGTCAGCAAATATCCATTTACCTTTTTCATTCAAGACAGCATAATGAGTTCTGTGGTGAGACCGCCATACATTTGCACTGCCAAAAGAGAGAGAGCATTTAGAGAGTATACAGATGATTGAAATACAAACATAGTGTGATGAGTGAGCGAAGTGTCTGGATAAGGTGCTTGGGGCTGGGAGGAGGACAGTTTTCAAGGGGATTTTCCACTGTGACTTGAAGGTGTTTAGCTTTATTCTTCTAAAGACGGTAGTGCAGTGTATTTGATGCCTTGTGTTTTGACTATACAATCCTAGGAAGAGTTCATAAATGAAACTTGTTAGGTTATTCTTAGGTGTACAAGAGTTGAGCAAAAGTGCACCATTGGACTCCAGTTTTTAAGATAATGTCTGGGACACATCTGTATGCCTGAGTAATTTTTTTCTTTTTCCTTTGGTTTCTTGTTTATAGGAAGAGCATTAAGAAGTTGGTTTTGAAGAACCTTAATAATAGCAATCTCTTTTCTCCCGTTAATCGTGATTCAGAAAATCTAGCTTCACCATCTGAATATCCAGAAAATGGAGAGAGGTACACTGAATTCTGTTTTGAGTTGTTCTTAGTAGAGAGTCAATCTCATTTTTAAGACATTCTTAGGAGTTTATGAAAATTTTTGAAGTTTGGTGAATATTGCAGAGAAGTATTACAGCTTATGAGCACATAGAAATCAAATCATATTTTTGTGTTTTGAATTCATTAAACCTTAAAATTATTGGAGTTCTGATTCAGTGCTTCAGAACTATTTTGGTATTTGTGTATCTTGTTTTGGACAGGGTTAGCATGTATTTGACACCCTTCAGCCCTTTAAAATAAGGAATATTTTGTCTGATGATTTTCTTTCTTTC